GCAAAAATTTGTCTCGTTCCCATTTAAACCTTTCAATGAACATATGAATCCAAAATGAAATTTCTAGAACTCATTTAGCATCGAAAATCAACGCATATTTCAATGGATTTCAAATCCGTTGATGCATAAACATTGTGGCACATTGTTGAATAGTTATTTCGCACATTATGAATATCGATTGGTATATTCAATGGAATGGTGTCGTAATCGCAACTATTTTGTGTGTTAAAATACATTTACCTTTCTGTTTATATGTAAATTAAACGTTGAAGTATATCTTTCATCTTGGGGAAAGACACGGGCTTTAGTAATTGCTAATTTTTCCTAGTTTTTTTTTTTTAGTAAATCGCATATAACGTGTACATTTGACAGGAACTAATAAGTCCTAATTATTCTTAGTTTTTTTTAGTTTTCTAGTTTGTGTCTACCCCGTAGTCTTTCATTCAATGCGAAGCATTAAATTAGTCACATTTCGATATAATTATGATCATGTTCATCATAAATTACTGAAGTGTTCGTATTATTTCTGTTCTCACATCTCTTACAATGTATTCAAATCATTGTAATTAGTCAATTTTGAACATCATTGGAACGACCACACAAAATCTCTTCAGATTATACGACGTTTTTGTTCGTGAATCAGTTTCAAAATTCGCCGAGACATTGACGGTCATTTTCCTAGAAAAAGCGTTTTAGTGCTTGTTGCTCTGAACGCATCATCATTGTCAAATTCATTAAAATAATTTAAGTTCAATGCAAATATTTGTACGAATACAAATATACTTTAAATGGCACCATCGGCAGAATACGAATCCAAGTGAAATACAATCACAATCCATTAGATTCACAAACCGTATCTGAGCGTACACAGCAATCATTGTGCAGATTATCATAGCGTGCCTGAACTTGTTGACTATGAGCTTGTGCAAGAGTGCAATGAAAGTACCAAATAAACATTATCCATATAAAAGAATACTAATATTTTGCAAATATTTATGGCCATAATGTGATATTAATATATTTGAAAAGAAACGCATAAATTATCAAATAGAATTTAATTGAATCGACTTTCAATTGTTGAATTCCGTTTGGTTTACATGTCAGATTACACTTCGATAATCTTGGGCTCCATAATGATTTTGTCTTATTTCTTTATTATATTATTCATGTGCGTATCTTAAGAAAGAAACCAACAATACAGCTACTTTTTGGGCCTTCTTGAGGTCCAATTAGAGCAAAAAGTTACTAAATCGACTTCGTTCTATGTTTTGTGCGAACACAATAAATATTGAGAAAAAAATCAAAGTGTCTAGCAAATAAAATATATATCTCAGTAAGATTCATTTACTAATTCAGATCCACTTTGAGCTATGTGAATTTTCTTTGAAACCATAATAATAAATTACGCGCAAACCAGTGTTGATGTGAGTTAATTATCGTTAATTAAAATCACAAATTGATCGTGTCTGTCTCGTCACGTGATCTAAATTTTGATGGTTGACTGCATGAACTTTTTGAAATTCGATTGATTATTCATGTGTCGAGTCTTTTTGCAAATAATTAAAGTTATTTCACTAATGAAACATTTCAATAACAATTGTAAGAAATTACAAATGAAAGCGACAAAGATGTGCCAGAAAAATCATGGTTTTTTTTTTTCAATTTGTAAACAGAGTAGTTTGATTCAAATAAGCAAAATTTCCATAATAATAGAATAACTTGGCGTGACTTTTTCTATTTGTTCACTTTTAGTTTCCTCTTTCATTTGGGTGGCGCCTAATAGCACGTGGTCGTTTAAAATATTTGCATAAACAGAAATCAGAGATTATACTGTGGATAGGAATATATTAGTGCATATTTGCCATCAAATAGAAATATGCGATATTCGCAATATATCTCGTGAGATGTATGTGCGTCAGTTACGAAAACACGAATAAGAGTGCGAAGAAACACAAGTACATGTATGTGTGTGTACGCTTCGTGCCTTGTATCCTTTTCTTTGTTCCCCTTTTTCATCTGCCTGCTATGTAGCGTAGCAGCCTTTGCCAACATGCATATATGACAGCAGATGAAAGAGGGGCATAACGAATAAGACGCTAGGCATGAAGCATACACAGTACACACACATACATATACTTTTGTTTCTTCATATCTCGCTCTGTATTCTTTTTCGTGTTTTCGTAATTGACACACTTATACATCTTACAAGCGGCGAGATATATTGCGAATATCGCATATTTCTATTTGATGGGAAATATGCACTAATATTTGGTGGTTCAATAAGTCTTTGGCCTGACAACCAGGTCGTGTCACGAATAAAATATCTCTTTAGTTTTGACAAGTACCATCTGTCTCCAGACTACTGGAAAAACTTCAGACGAGTCCGTTCACGGACCTATGAGTTACAGCGCTTGAAAGAGACCAACCTCAAAATACACCTTATTTCAATATTTTATTACTTTATTCGGAAGGGAAGGAATTATATTGCACTATTATTCCACTCAGAGCATAGATAGAGGTCCCATCAAGCCATATCGGAAATAACAAAGTGATTCGTTATCAAAGTCATAGAAAATTAATATCACCTGTTTGGCTTTGAGAGACACCAGGTTGTGAAAATTTTGAAATATATTTTTTGTCTCTCAAGACAGTAATCTTTTGATTCAAAAAATTTAAAAATGACATAAATTAATCATTTGGCACCGTTCCAACTTATTTCAGTTGATAAAACAATATTTTCAAAGACACGGTCCCACAAAACGCGAGCTCGAACAAAAAAAGGGATTATATGGCTTTTTGCGGACATATCGGTTTTTGATGACCGTGTAGACTATACCTTATCCCAAAATGGATTGAATAGGTTCTGTAGGATACTGCTAATTAATTATCAACAAAAATATTTACATTATTTGTGCATAGAATGCTTAAAACATCGCAATAAAACTACCATTCAAAACCATTGTGAACAAATGCGGCAGCCTCCGTTCAAGTGAAGTTTTCTTGCACAAATGTTGGACTGATATATCGAAATGTTCTGTTCCACGTGATGCTTCGGATCTATTCTGGATTATTCACTAGGATATTGCAGACCCTCAAAGCAAGATCTTGGATTTTTTTAATCATTTCTTCAAAAAGAGACATTTTTGGGGTAGTTGTTTTCCGTTGCCTGTATTACCACATGCAAAAGTAATATAGAACTTCTTACTAGCTCCAGTAGATAGAAGAGAGTCTGAACAATATCACCAAGCTTAGTTTAAGCTTTGCTGATAGATTTGTCTTACAAAAATTGTTGTTGATTTAAAAAATCGAATTCTTTTTTATTCCATTTTTCGATAAAAACTAGAGGTTGGTCTCTTTCAAGCGCTGTAACTTATAGGTCCGTGAACGGATTCGTCTGAGACAGATGGTACTTTTAAAAAATAAAGAGATTTTTTATTAGTGACACGACCTGGTTGTCAGGCCAAAGACTTATTGAACCACCAAATATATTTCTATCCACAGTATAATCTCTGACAGAAATTGAAGACATTAATTTGATAAAAATACGTAGATGTCATTCTATATACAGTACAATTTGTAAACTCAGCTTTGGTGCTTTTGAAATGAGACTAAGCGTGAATTTAACTTTCAACGTATCCACTTCCTACCAAATTTACTAATAAACAAAAAGTTTTTTTTATTCTTCATGATTCTCCTTTTAATTTCATCTTGTAGGGTTTTATTTCTTTTTCTTTGAATCATTTTGTGTTTTTCTCACGCTTCATTGTCAATAAAAGTGTGACCTGTGACGTTGAACATTTTTAATTATTCATAAAAGGCTTAGCAAACTACTGTTGAGAGCCACCATGACTTCAGATCACGTGACTATGTGGCAACGATGAATCTGTGATACTAATTAACGGTAATTAACTCATATCAATATTAGTTCGAATGATGTCAATAGTTATCACATGCCGCCATTCAAAGAAAAATCACATAGTTCAAAGTGGACCTGAATACATCGTAAATTATGACGTGTTCATTAACACATAATAACAATTGATTCATAGTTTTTTTTCGTTTTTTTTTATCACGTGAATAATGTCAGATAATTGCGCAACATTTTTAAATGAAGTAGGTGTAAGTGGGAGCGCTCAAATTACAAACACATACACATCCAGCCCCCACATTTCATTTTCTAGGTATCTTGAATTGAATGATCAATATTTTCTTTTTGTATACTTTTATTAATATATTCTAATCAAAAATGCTGACCTCGTTCAAATATCAAAAAAAGAAAATTTTTGATTTTTCTTGAAATTAAATTTTTTATTCATTTCCTTTTATTCATTACCAACACAACAAAATTAAGTTTTACCTTTTGTCCTTATAGCTTGGGGTGAGTCATCATATTTTATTTGGTTAAACTACAACGTTACTAGACATATTCGACGAAATTAGAATCGTTCCAGGTCAATTCCTATTGAAAATCATGAAATAATCGTCTTACTGCTATTTATTCAATTTTTTGATTTTGATATCTGGCTACAACACAATTATTTTTCGTTTATTGGTTTACTGTTTATTTAATTTTATATCTATTTCTGTTGTCAACAAAGAAAACAGTAAATTTTACTTTTCTAGTAAGAGATTAAAAGATATTAGAGACGCACTAGCTTATATTAAATAAATATTTGAATTATTATATTAAAACTAAACGAAAATAATTTTTACTATAAATGATGGGTCACCCCTTGCCTTATAATACCTGTTGGAATTTGCTCAAAGTTGATAATTTTATCGTTTTCAATTCAATCAGAAAGCAACGCCAGCAGCAGATAAAGATATTAGAATCATCTTATAGATTTGCGTCTATCTAATTTATCGTGACTCCTAGCGTGACTCCCACAAAAGTAAAAAAGATCAGCTTTAAAATATGTGCCGATGATAAATTAAGAATTCAAGTATAAATACCTGCGATCGACTTATGGCAGCGACATATTCTTAATAACTATCGATGCGTGAACATCATTTCCACACCTTTGGCACGTTCAAAATACAATCTGAGTGACCAATTCTAATTATCACCATTTTATTTTCTTTGTGTTCACTACAAAACGAGAACATCGTAAAAAATACATACAAAAACGAGTTAGTAAGTTTAAGATCTCCATTAATTTATTTTAAATGAACAAAAGCAGCACACAGTGAATTTAGTTGAATAAAAGTGAGTAAAGTAAAAGACTTTCAAGAGAAATAGTCTTTTAGTGAACTAATTTTTTTTTGCAAATTTTTTAATTATTCAGAGATGATAAATTCATCATTCGAGCACTCTCCATCGGATGGAGGTGTAGTATTGAAAGTTGAACGACCATTTTATGAACAACACCAATTTAACAGTGCATTGGATTATAAATCGAAAAATGACAAGAAACCGGTTTGTTCAAATCCATTGTCTTGCTTGACAAATTTTAACCCAGCAACACTTGTGAAAAGCATGATCCCGATTTTATCATGGTTGCCACGATATAAGTTCAAAGAAGATTTGGTCTGTGATCTTATCAGCGGTTTCACCGTCGGCATAATGCATGTAAGATTAATGTGGTTCAGTTGGCATCGATGGCCCAATTTTATTTATTCGATGGTTTGATTTGAAAAACAGATTCCGCAAGGAATGGGATACGCACTACTTGGATCCGTGCCACCAATTGTCGGAATTTATACGGCATTTTTTCCGGTTTTGTTATACTTTCTTCTTGGCACATCAAGACACAATTCAATGGGCACATTTTCGGTGATTTCAATCATGGTTGGTAAGGTGGTTATGAGGTATGCACAAAATCCAAGTGGAAACATAACCATGTTACACAATTCAACAAGTATTGGTGCTGAGCCACTGGATCATCCAGTATACACTCCGATGCATGTTGTTTCGTCGTTGTGCATAGTCATGGCAGGCTTTCACGTAAGATTTTTTTTCTCTCGATTTATTGAATGTGAGCCGTATTTAATTTCGTTTCTTTAATTTTAGCTAATAATGTATGTGATGCGATTTGGTGTATTGTCTTCATTGCTATCCGAATCGCTGGTATCTGGATTCACCACGGGTGCCGCAGGTACAATATTAATTTTATCAAATTTGTTTCATTTTTTCATAGATAAAACTAATATTATTTACTATAGTTGGTGTGTTGACATCACAAGTTAAGGATTTATTGGGCATAAAATTAACACCTGTCATTGGAAAGTTTGAAATTGTGTTGGTATGTTGGATTTAAGTTCTTTTAACTGGTAAAACATTGGAGATGTCTATTTTCAATCAAATTTTGTAGAATTGGTACGAAGTAATTTGTAAAATTTTGGATGGATCATGCAATTCGGTGACGGTGGGCATATCGGTGGTGACGATTACAATTTTGTGGCTGAACAACGAATGGCTGAAACCAAAATGGAGTAAATTTTGCATTGTACCGATTCCAATTCAATTGATAGCCGCTGTCTCTGGAACACTGGCATCACGATACCTCGACTTGCACAAGAATTTCAATATCACTACCGTAGGCGATATACCGACAGGCATCCCCGACTTTCAATTGCCAGATTTTGATCTCTCGCGCCATTTAATCGTCGATGGCTTAATTATTGCAATCGTTTCGTACGTCATTTCTGTTTCGGTCGCATTGACTTTTGCACAACGTATGAGCTACGAAATCGATTTCAATCAAGAGCTGCTAGCGCTTGGCACAGCGAATATTGTTGGTTCATGTTTTTCATGTCTTCCATTATGCGCATCACTTTCAAGATCAACCGTTCAAGTTTTGGCCGGTGGTCGCACGCAAATCACATCGATTGTGTCTTGTTCAATTTTATTCTTTGTTTTACTTTGGATTGGACCTTTTTTCGAAGTTCTTCCCAAGGTAAGTTTAATGCTTTTATTTAATTTAATTAATTTTATTCATCTGTTTTTTTTGCTCATATTTTAGTGCGTATTGGCCAGTATAATAGTTGTTGCATTGAAAACGATGCTTATGCAAGTCGTGGATTTCTTTAAATTTTGGAAAATTTCACGTTTAGACGCACTTATATGGATGTCCACATTTTTAGCAGTGGTCATCGTTTCCATTGACATTGGACTGTTGGTTGGAATTATCTTAAGTTTGGCATGTATTTTTATGAGGGCAATGACTCCAGCTCGATCTCTGTTGGGAAATGTGCCAAACACTGACATATATTTGGACATAAATCGCTACAAAGCGGTAAGATCTTCATTTTTTTGTAAAGCCCTTTTTCAAAAGTAAAATAAAATGAATCCAAAACCATTTTATTGCAGGCCAAAGAAATCAATTCAATAAAGATTTTCCACTACAGTGGCAGTTTGAATTTTGCGTCGCGATCATCATTGAAAATGGAATTGTGTTCTTTAATTGGACTTGATTTGCCAACAGAACTACGCAATCTTTCAAAAGGAGTTAAATGCAATCATCTTAAATGTTTAATCATTGATTTCGCCGCGTTAAGCTATATCGATCCGTCCGGAGTTTCAACGCTAAAGCTCTTAATTGATGATTTCAATAAACTTTCGGTGAATGTGTATATCGCGGGAGCATCATGTAAGTATAAAAAAATCCGTTAAATGTATAAAAGAAAATAAATCTTCAAACCCATTTACCGAACAGGTTCAACGTATGAAATGATGAAGCGATGCGGTTTAAATGAAAGATCCGATGGTTCGTTCAATTTCTTTCCCGCAGTTCATGATGCTGTGCATCGAGCTAAGGATAATTTAAATAAAATAACCAATATTATAACTGAAATATCTCCGAAAAACATTGATAATAATATCGTACACACATTGACCTTACCACCGGCATCTGGTATATATCGGACAATATCGAACACATAAATTAATGCAACGAAATCTTCCAGAATTAAAATTTTGTCATAAGAAAATGTGCAGCATCTGGAATGCAGCAGAATTTTTATTACACATACATTTCAACCGAAGCCATATAAAAATACTCGCGTAATCAAAACAGAAAATTTGTGTCATTGGAAAGCCGCCACAGCAGTAAAATATTGAGCGCTTGGAATTAGTGTGATGTTGTTTTTTTTGTTTACCTTAACTATAGTTCAGTTATCGAAAAGCATCAATCAATTTCGGTTGCGTAGTAAAAGTTATAAAAAAACCGCCGAAACTCGATGCCAAATTTGTGTTCTATCATTAAATCTCGACGGTTTTTTCATGAATTTGACTACATAAATAGCATAACATATTTCAACTAAACAGTCCGAATCTACAATCAAATGAGCTTATGTTTGTCGCATTCAGTGATGGGCAAAGATACTTTATCTGAGGTTATCTAAACGTAATTTTTGCTATTTTCGTATGAAAAAACCAGAAGATACTGCAAGATAAGATAAAGATAACGAGATCTTTTATCTTATCTAGATAGAATTTTAAAACTTTTAAAATAATTATCTGTTATCTAAACTTTAGATAGTATCTTTACACATCACTGGTCGCATGAATTTCGTTTACTGTTCTCCAAAAAATTGTAAACAGTCTGGGCTGAAAAGTATAAATAAAATAAATGTTGTTTGTAAAGATATATAGTTTTTTAATCGCACATGCATTATGAAGAATGGCAAAATGTAAAAAAAAATGAATTGGTTTCGAAGACACACAGGATAATTGATGGTATCAACCTCGGTACAATACTTCGAGATCAGAACAGGTCTAGCATATATTAGTTCCCAAATCCATTTATCGATCTTCACTAGAATGGATGTCCGCAAGCCCAGAACAGGTAATTTCACATGATTCACTTCTAGCTTATGACTTGATATATCCATTCTCAAATGGATTTGGTATTTAAACTATAAGGAAAATGTAGACTTCAAAATTTATGACTTTCAAAAATCTCGATTGATTTGCGAGATATTGTTGATTTTGCTACCATTTTCGAAAAAAATAAGAATGATTCATTTAAACACTAAAAGCAGTGAAAAAAGTATAGATACGATGAACAAGAATAAACTGAATATGTACACAGATTCGAATATTCATTTGCTCTGAGGTGAATTTATTAGATTACATTTATAGTACTGACAGAGAGAGAAAGAGAAGAAGAGATAGGGGAATCTTTGATAAAGCGCTTCAAAAGTGAAGCGCATAAATTCCATTTCGTTGAAAAATTTGTTGAATACTTTATTGCGAAATGTATCTTCAAGCTAAAATAACGGCATATGTAATGTAAATGATCAGCATGCCACCGATGGAGTGGTAGCATCAATAGAAATCGCTTGACGAAGCGGCAAACAAAGTCGGTAGAATGTTGGAGCCATTTCGCACAGATGCGAACCCATTTATATTATGCAACCGAGTTATTTATTGCATGTAGTCAACAATTGAGCCGACAATCGTTATATATCGTAAAACACGTCGTTTGTCGATTTTGGCCAACACAACGGCCGCTTTTGACTGACAATTGTAAGACTGACAATTGTAACATATATTTGCAATTCAGTAATGTGCGAAGGGGGGTTTACCCCTCCCCCCCTGTGATTTGGATGAGAAATTTTTTTTTCGCGAAAATTATTCGAATTTGCTAGGGTTTTTCATGAAAAAAGTGAAGACCTTTTTTTTTTTTTTTAGCTCATCAATGTAGAAAATTGAAGAGAATTCTTTAACTTTGCTAGGGTTTTTGGTTCCGAGAGATTTTTTCAGATTTGCTAAGGTTTTTCGCGGAGAAAATTCTTTCGATTTGCTAGGGATTTTCGCCTCAAAAAGTGACTTCCAAAAAAAAAAACGAAAATTTGTTTGATTTGCTAGAGAATTTTTGGTTTTTGAAAAATCACCCCCCCTGTAAAATGTAGCTCGCGCATTACTGTTGCAATTGTATGCGATTTGAAAAACCGTCTGAATTGAGTGACGAATGTAGTTTAAACGGAGAGTAAATTTTATAGAATTTTTTTAGACGCCGGTTTGTAATCTATCACAGAAGAATTTCAATGCAATTTAATATCAATCATAGAAATTCACTGACATTTCCGGCGATTTCGAATCACAAATAAATGTATACGGACAAAATGCACGTGATCCATTTGAGTGGAATCTGGTTACAATTGATTTGATGTTATTTGATGCGAAGTCTATTTGCATTGAATTGAGCTTGATAAAAATGTCGATCATTTGTTTTGGGATGATTACCCGATGGAAAGAATGATTTTCATTTTACGAACAATGGAGCATTATTAATGTCGATTGATTTGTTCATATTGTGTGCCTCTGTGTCCCCGGGTAGTCTCCATCACGTGCGTGAATGGAAAACAAATAGCATTTCGTTCATTGGATAATTGATTTCGATTTTGAAGTTTGTTTCCCGACATGGACAACGATTTTAAATTTGAAGGACAGTCGTCCCATAAATTCTTTACATTTTCAGTGGCCAAAACTTTGGAAAACAAAAATCCCAAACGAAACGAAAGCACACACACATATATATATAAACAAGCACTAATTTAATTTAATTGTTGTAATAAAACTGGAAAAGGCCAAAAGAAAAACATGGCTAATGAAAAAACTTTTCGTCCAACACCGAAATGATTCGACATTGCTTTGGTTTTGGTTGGGACATTTTGTATGCATTATGCGACGCAAACGCACAAGTGCGCGCACGCACTCAATACACAATAACAAAGTAATCAAATGGAATGAATGAAATTCGAAGATCTTGACTCACTTTCAAAACGATACAATGCCTTTGTTGAAATTAATCTTAAACTTTTCTTCTTTCCGTTTCCTTGTGCGCTTTATATGCTTCGTGTTTATTTATTGGCGAATATATCTCTCGGTCTATGTACAATTTTTGCAGGCTTCATTTTCATGGCCTGAACTTAATTTGGTGCGCTTTTGTTTTAACGCCACGGAATTTATGGAGAAAATTCTCTATTGTCTACAGTCTTGCATAACTTTCGCGACGTTTTTATTTCATTTCAACTGTCAGATAAGAATTGTTACACCATACAAAGATAATAACCAACAGCGAAAGAGGACCAAACGAGAGAGAGAGAGACAGAGAAAAAAACACGAATAATAAGAAGAAACAAGAAAAACTCCAGCAAAATGAATTGAAATAAATGAGTTCTAACTTTTACTGGTTGCACCATGAGCTTAATGCTTAAGTAAAAGCGATTAAAACTATGAATTCTTTGCAAAGAATTTTCTACAGCTTCTCTTGCCATCGTTCCGCCTTCAGTTTATAGCAATGATTTTCCAGTATTTTGTTCATTTTGTTTGTTTATATTTTTGACATGATATTTGACTGATCGTGATACTAATTGTTGTCGTCCTTCGTTCGCACTTTATCTTTATGTTAAATTAAGTTTTATTCAGATGCATTCAGCTTATTTTTTTTATTTTGCCACCAATTTAACATAAAAGCATTAAATTATATTCGAGAGCAGCAAAAGTAATTTTCAATTTCTTTACGCACTCTATTAGAAACGTTTCGCATAAATTGCGCATTTTTGGTTGCTCGCAAAACACTTTGTAAATCTTTTAAGTGGCTTTAAAATGTTTCTCTTAATTTGATTTAGTGCTTTATGTTGTGTTACAGTAGTTAGCACGCAAGATAAACGTTAGTTTCTTCGCGGTAATTTGAATTAATACGAATTAAACTGCATTTGCATCAAGTCTATTACGTAACGTTTCACCCTTCGGATTCATTTCTTTTGCAAAATTTCTCATTACGAAGGATTGGATTTTTGTATGTTTCAACTGTCAACCATGTACGATATACTTCGAAAATGTCACAGGTAATAATCACTTGTATGACTACAGAATTATATCATTAAGATTTACAGCACTTAATAAAATAACCACACCAACTGTATATAGTTCAACTATTTAATGAGGCATTTATCTGCGGAATGATAGTTCGCTTTGCATACTTTGGTTATTTGTGGAAAAAAAATCTACGAACGGCGAACAAATTGAAACATTGCTTTAATTTAATTTCGGAATTTACTTTAGTATACCATAAACATCGTCGTATTTAAGTTTTCACCAAACTTTTTTTCGAAAGTAACCAAATTTCACGAGATAAGAATGTGACAGAAGCGTAAAACTCAGTAGAAAATTCTGATTAAAAAAAAAACGAACAGAATATTAACGAACTTAAGAACTTATATTGTCATTGCAACACGATGTACAATGGAAACAAGTTGAAAATGAAACGATAGCAGATTATAACAGATGTAGAGTTTTTAATTCATAATGAGTAAGTTTGTAAATTCGAAGAAAAGTAGAGTTTTCGAAGTTGGTCACCCCTTTTTGAATTAAGGTTTTTTTCAGTTGTAAGATGATTGAACCTACATCGCTGATTGTTCAGCACACAAATTTGCTGAAATCCACTGGATAAGCGGCATTAAAAAAATGGCCATAAGTTGAAGTTAACAAGATCAATTTGCCTTGAACATTCTTGTGATTTAAAACAAATAAGTGCAAAAAAATTGTGAAAAAATGTTCAAATTCTTCGAATTTGCAATTAATAGACTGGAAAAACAAGTTAATAAATTAATTGGATGGCTTTATGCGAAGTAAAAATAACATTGTCATAATGAAAAGATAAGGCTAATGAACTTTTTTTTATGAAAAAAAGCATGAAAAAGACCATTGTCACAATTTTTTTTTGTTCATAATGTGAAAATGGAACAGAAGTGGTGCGAATAAACGTAATTGGATTTAGCTGGCTAAAAGAGAATTGGCCAATTTTCGTGACCGTATTTTATTCAACCGTTATTCAAATTTATCCCGTCTCCAGTCGTTTTATCATAATTAATGCAAAGCACACACACACACACGAAAAATTCATGTTGAACGATAATACGAGAGAACAAAAGCATCCTACGGAAATTCTCACACACAAGTTTATAGATTCAAATGTACGAAAAATGAAAATCATTCCAGCACAAATTCAAATATGAATTCCATAGAAATGTTGGACGTCCGATCAGAGCACATTATAATAAATTTTATTTGCTACCATCTGTAAACGGTTTCTCTATTATTTGCATTGTTGATGAGATATTACCGCAAAACGACAGACACCAAACGCGCTTATATCGCACACAAGTCGGGGCAATAAACGATATAAAGAATGATTATGGTTAGTCCAAGGAGCATCGAAATAAATTGCACACAGTGTCGTTGCTTCAATCTGGAAATCAGCCCAAAATTGCATAAAACCAACGCGACTTTGCATTGTTTTGAGAGCAATGGCACAAGAACTAATACTTCAATTACGGGACCACGTTTATCATTTAAATATTTTTGTGCGACTCGGTTTTTTATTTTGGCCATTATATCTCTAACTGCCATATCGTATCGAAAATGAATGTAAATGGACGTTCATTTATTCTCGCTGTCTTTCTTTTGCCACTTTAATTTGTGCACCATTTCAAACACAATTTTTTAGTCTCTTTCTTTTTCAAATGATAGTCGCGACGTTTGCCAATGTTCATGAACACCGGACGATTTTAATTTCAATGATTTTTACACTTT